CAAAAAAAAAAAAATAAAATAAAATAAAATAAAATAAAATAAAAATTGTTACAAAACATGAAGAGGAATATTACATAATGATAAAAAGGTAAATCCATCAAGAGACTGCAACAATTAGACACATATATGCATGAAACAACACAGCCCCAAAATAAATAAAGCAAAAACTGACAGAATTGAGGAACGAAGTAGTACAACAATAATATTGGGAGATTTTAACACACCATTTTCAATCATACATAGAACAACTAGGCAGAAGACCAATAAGGAAATAGAAAACTCCAATAACACTATAAACCAACTAGACTTAACCAACACATATAGAACACTCCACCCAACAACAGCAAAATACACACTCTTTATAAGAGCACTTAAAACATTCTCCCAAGGTAGAACATATGGTCTATTGTATGGTAGGTCATAAACAAGATTCTTTAATTTTTAAAAGATTGAAATCAGGCAAAGTATCTTATCTGACCATAAGGAAATGAAATTAGAAATCAATAACAGAAAGAAACTTGGAAAATTAAAAAATATGTAAAAATTAAATAATATACTCATTTAAAAAATGGATCAAAGAAGAAAACAAAAGGGAAATCATAAAATATCTTCAGAGAAATGAAAAGGAAAATACAGCATACCAAAAGTTATGGAATACAGTAAAAGTAGAGTTCATAGGGAAATTTATGCTTACAATACCTATATTACAAAAGAAAAAAGATCTCAAATAAATAACCTAACATTCAACCTTAAGTAACTAAAAAAAGAAGCAAAAACTATACCTAAAACAAAAAGAAAGATGGACATAATAAAGATTAGAGTGAAGATATAAGAAAGAGAATAGGGAAAAAATAGAGAGGATCAACAGTACCGAGAGTTGATTCTTTTAAAAGATCAACAAAATTGACAAATTTTTGCTAGATAGACCAGGGAAATCAAGCAATAAAAATAAATAAAACCTTTGCTCACAGATTGCGTGACCTTACATATAGAAAATCCTAAAGAATTCACACACAAAAAAAAATAGAGCTAATAAATTCAGCAAAGCTACAGGGTACAACACTAACATGCAAAAATAAATTGCATTTCTACACACTAGTAACAAGCAATTCAAAAATGGAATTAAGAAAACAATCCCATTTATAATAGAATCAAAAAATACTTAGGAATAAATTTAACCAAGGAGGTTCAATTACTAGGGGAAAATTGAGTTGCTTCTATACAATAGAGGCAAGTAGACTGTGTTGGAAACCTTAGGTGATTCTCTGAGGTGCCTCTTAGTCATTCCATGCCTGACAGTAAAAGTTAGTGGAACCACCAAAACAGGGTAGAATGAGTTGGGATTCAGGCCCTTTGGGAATGAAGGTTTTGCTCATTCTACCAAAGGATGGGGAAATATGGTAGTTATCAGTTATTCCTTTGTGTGACGTGTTATAGAAATAAGAACTGTAGCAAGTTGTAATATTTTTATTTGCTTTTTATGTGTATGCTTTTATTTCTATATTTTAACCATTTTCTTCTCTCTCCTGTCCATTTAAAAACATTTTATTGCAGAGTTTTACAGGGAACAAATCATTTGGTTACATACATTGCCTTTGCACCACCCAACAAGTGTGCCCATCCCCCACACACACCCCACACTCATGAGGTGTAAATTTACCCATCCCCTCCTCCACCCTCCTACTTGCCCAACACGCTATGAATGTTACTTCCCATATGTGCACATTAGTGTTGATCAATTACTACCAATTCAATGGTGAGTACATGTGGTGTTTTTTTTCCATTCTTATGATATTTCACTTAGAAGAAGGGGCTGCGGCTCCATTCAGGATAATATAATAGATAGTTCATCATTTTTTAAGGCTGAGTAGTACTCCATGGTGTACATACACTACATTTTGTTGTATTTCTTTTGGATAAGTTGTTTGATAAACTAGATTGCAAGAAAATAGTCTTTCCCAGGTAAGACATTTCTATCAGGGAAGGTAATTTTATCACTCATTTGTTCCAATTTAATTAACACTAAAAGCATGATATCATGAATGACAACAGAGGCAAGTAGCCCTAGAAGAAGGAACATAGAAAAATACTGGAGAGGATTCTAGTAAGATTACATATATAATATATATCTATTATTTTTGGCAATTTAAGGTCATTAGCAAGAGCAATTTGTGTGATGTGGACACAAAAGTAAACTGCAATGAGATACAAATTATTCAGGAGGTAGAGAAAAGTAAGCAACATAAAGCGGTCACTCAAAGTTTACGAAGTAGGAAGCAGACAGGGGCAATCTCTGGAAGGGATATGGAGTAAAGATACATTTGACACGAGGAGACGTCAGAACCTTCCTGTAAAAAGGGGCACTATTGATCAGGTGGGCTGAATTAATGCCTGAGGAGCCTGGGGTGAAAAGTCGTCTATTTTCTGCGCTGCCCACGGAATTTGGGCTGAATTGGTATACTTCCAGAAAGTACTTGGCTAACCCCACAGAGTACTTGGGTCCTACTCCCACTGCAATCTTAAAAACATTAGGTCCGCAAGGATGCTTGGATTACAGTAGGGAGGACCTGGAGAGCAGCACACCAGGACCAGGCATCTCAGAGATCTAATTAATACTAAAATGACAGACTCCAGGGATGTCAAGCAAGGACAGGGATTTGTTCTGAACAACAAAAGGCTGAACATAGGCAGCTGTGGCCAGGAAAACAGAAGCAGCTACAGAAGACATTGCCATCCTGAGAGCCTCCTCGAAGCCTCTCCTGAAGTAGTAAGTAACCAGCCAATGACTGAATGTTGAGAGGTGAGGGAATAGACATGGTCCATGTCCCGTAATTCTGTCCAGATCTCTGAATTTAATTACATGTCTGATCTTTGGTCTCCATGGTCAGCTTTTCTTGTTTGATTCTTCACCTTCAGTACTTCCCTTCTCTCAGGCTCTTCTCTTGTATAGGGACTAAGGTTTGTGATCAGGAAACAGTAGAGAAATGAGGCTGAGCTCTAAGATATCAGTGAATAAATGATAAACCAAGGGATCTACATAATAAATTCTATATCCAAGATTTCCAAAACAAAAAGCAACTCCAAACAGAAAACTACTTTATCATGTCTACTAAAAGACATGTAACTTTAAAACAAAAGACATATTTAAGATAAATTATAGTAGAATTACCCATTAAATTCAACCAAAAAGATAAGATGTTTGCCATCATAATTCTTTCACATTGATCACAAAATGTCCAACCATTTCAT